TTTCCAAACTTTCCTTTTCTACAAACTTACTCCTGCTAGCCAAAAATGCATCTAAATCTTGCTATTACATTTATATGTTTGACCTTTACAACTTCTTGGAGTAATAACATGCTCTCTATACCTACTAGAATCACATGCTAAGAATCACTATAATTCCTTTTATTTGTCTTTTAAAACTGAAAAAAAGGAATTCCCTACTTCTACTATTTGGGGATTTGTCCGTAAAGTATGTGTGTATCCATCCTATTCAGTGGCTCTCATTATTTTATCTTATAGTCTTTGAATCACCCATAATAATTTGAAATGCTTTCCTATAACAGACTAAGTCAACTAAATAAGGAAAATAAAAAGCCAATCTCAAGAAGTGTAAAAAACAGCAAAGAGGCTATATTGCTACTCTAGGGCACAGAATATAGCACTGTTATTCTGGGAAATTGCAACTGGGGAGTTTGGAATTTTATTAGGAACTCCTCAGGTTTAAAAGCTATATCCAAACATACTACACACTTGCTCTTTTGTTCTGCATCATCAAGAAGTACTCTGATGGATTTCTAATTAGCTGAGATTTCAGCTCATTAGTGGTATCTACAGACAAATAAATGCTTGATGTTTTCTCTTTGTGTCCATTTCCCTTTCACGTCTGATCTCTCTCTTTCTTTCCCTCTCCTCTCTCCTCTCTCTTCCCCTCTCCTCTCCTCTCCTCTTCTCTCGCTCTCTCGCGCTCACGCTCTCTCTCTCTCTCTCTCTCTCTCTCTCTCTCTCTCTCTCTCCCCCCTCCCTGCCTTTCCCCTTCTTTCTGTTACTTTCTATATCTCTCTTTTGCTCTTTGTGTGAAAAAAGAGAGAAAAAAAGAGTTTCCTTCTTCTGTATGTACCTTCGTACCTGGGTGGGTGCTTGTCTATATGTTTATCTGTGTGCATCTCTATGTATACGTTTCTATTTCCTCTGACTCTCACTAAATGATCTGTTCTCTTCATAAGAAGAAAATGATGTTGTATCATAAAAAGAAGTATTTTATGCGGTAAAGGTAAACAGACAATTCCAGCCTCTCTCTCCAATTCTTAAATATATTGGGAGTGCTGCCTCCTTCTTTTTCCTTTTCCACTAAAGCTTTACCAACACCTCACTTTCAATGTTGTTAAGTTAGTGAATAATGAAATCTTCACTGTGACAAACTCGATCTGTCTGTGAGAATTCTGAAAGGAAATTTCTGTTAGCCTCAATTAAACAATTTCTCAGAATAAATTTTCCTATTTCTCTGCCAAATCGGATAGAAATGGCAACGACTGTGGGATATGCCCACATGAATGTACAGACCAATTTAATACTGTAGTTTTCATTTTCCGAGGTTCTTCCTGTAAGAATGGTACTGAGACTGCCCAATATTTATTATGTACACATGCGCATAGAGTTATCTCAAGTATCTAACACATTTCAAACAGAGCTCAGAGGTTTTGAGTAGTGGTATTAAAAGTTAGCCGTAAGCAATCAGAAGTGGTATGTAAAATGCCAAAACAAATCATTTTCATTCACCATTGGGTGCTATCCATGGAAATAAACATGAAACCAATGAAACAATTATGAACATCATGTGTGAAAAAGGTAGAACGTTCATTAACTTGGATGGAAGATGTAAAATGGAGGCAACAGAAGCAGATATTTCTAAACCACATAAGGTGAGTCTTAACTTCATAGTATATCTGAAATACAAGGTAATCTAAAAACTGGCTCACAGTTCCAGTCTGCACACAAAGTTTCAACCAAAGATGCTATATTAGTAAACTTCAGTCAAGGAGCTGTCATCTTCTTTCTTTCTTACAGAGCAACAGAGAACCTGTGGGCTTTATTCTTTAAGGCCTTCTCTGAAAAGTCCTTTCATAGACAAATTGCAAAGATTTGAAATAACTCAAGAAGATCAAAAAGCTAAAATAAGACCGATATATCTTAAATAACTGGTTCCAATCACCTTTAAATTTCCCAAACTGGTGTTTTAACAATAATATCCCCCTTGTACTTTAGGTCTTCTGTAATATTAATGCAAGCTAATGGTTAAACACAGAAATTGCCTACCATTACAAATTCACATTTTATATTATCATAAAAAACCAAAAACATTTGAAATCACACTGGAATGTCAAAAAATATTATAGGATTTTTAAAAAACTAGACCAGTCTTATTAGCTATTTTTTTTCAACCCCAAAAGCCTACTCTAGAATTGTATAGTACCAGGTGTTGACCACACTGGAAGAAATAAAGTCAAATGCCTCAAATTAAAACCAAATATTGTGTCAGAGCTTTATGAAAAACACCTTGGGACATTCAAATATACATAGTCCCAAAATCAGGGGAAATATCTGCAAGTCAAGAAGAGATCCTAATCTAAGAATATAATCTAATCTACCAATTCGGGGGGAAAGCATATTTAATTATTTATTATTATTTGAGAGTGCTCTGTCTTGCCCACTAGGCAGGAAGCTTCTTGAAAACAAATGTGTCTTAATCATTTTTTTATCCAAAGGATCCCACAAAGCGTCTATTGTATAAGGCACCCAAAAATATTGTTTAAATGAATCAATGAATGAATGAACAATGAAGTATGGAACTGCAGAGTACTGCCATTGCTTTGGTCCAAGCTCTACTGCAATCAATATGTAGAAATGTCACTCTCATAATTGTTCAAGCAAGGTATCGCACAATAAAATAACAAGCCTCTAAAGAAAAGAAAAAAAAACTTTTTAAAGGATACTTTACATATCTTGCTTATAAAACTGAAAATTATGTAAAAGAATTTAAAATAAGTAGAAGATGAAGATTTAAGTAAAATGCAAAATTTGTAAGGTCTTATAATGCGAAATATATAACCATCTCATTCAGAATATCTCGGGGGAAATGAATATACAAATGGATGGCATTTTAAAACACTTTAAGACAAGTAAACCTTAACATCAGTAGCCAGGGAGAATGGCATTTTTTAAAATTCTTTCTCTAGTTACTTTAAAAACACAATAACTATTGTTTTTACATTTCTCCTATTTAAGTCAAAGCAAATATATAAATCAATATAGGCCAATGCACAATAATAAAAAAAAAAAAACTTTTAACACAAACTCAGCCATAGTAATTGCCTTCCCATTTTTCAAGTACCCTCTTAATTAGGTTCGATTCCAGCTACTTTCCCCAGCACAAGGTTCCTCTCAGCGGTGCCTGTTGGGCCCAAAAGCCATTCCAGACACTTAAATCTTATTAGGAGCCACTTTCGCGGCCATTCCCAACTTGAGGGAAACCCTTGCACTGAGATTGACTAACTCTAAGAATCTGTTCAGTCTCTGGAGCCTACTCGGGGGGAAAATGTGGGCAGAGGACGAACAAGAAAAATACCCTCACTGAAGCGAAACTCAACTCTATTCTCCAGACGTACCTATGCCCTACCCACTCCCCCTTAGCTGCTCCCAGTTCCGGGCTCTGGACAGGTGGGAGGAGGGTGAGTAGGTCCTGAGGAGGGTATGCAACTAACTTTCCACCACCACCTCATTCCCACCCCCACCCAGAATCAGGTCCAACTAGTAACTGAAGCCACCAGGTAGGGCTGTCTGAATCCCTCCTGGAGAGGGATGGGGTGGGGAGGACGGGGGGCGCGCTTGGGCAAGATAGACGTGGGGGTGTTCGGAACTGCAACTCTTCTTACCACTGGAGCGCCTGACGATGTTCTCCAAAAATGTGTTCTGCGGTGCCACCAGCCCTCTCTTGCCCCCCGGCATCCTGGGTCTGGAGAGCGGCGGCCAGGATCCGCGGCGGGGGAGGGGGGGATGCAGGAAGAGAAGGTGGAGGAACTGGAGGAAAAGGTGGAGAAGATGGAGCCAAAAGAAGAGGGGGCGCGGCGGCGGCGACGGGGTCCCCTGACTGTGTCTCCAGCCCGACCCGGATGAGCAGCTCTGGCGAGAAGGACCAGGCAGTTCATGGTAGTAGCGCTCCCCCGGCCGCGGCTGCCCAGACAGTGGCGGTGCCGCACACGGGGCTCGGGAACTGCAGGCTCCGCGGGGCACAGTGCGCCTGCGCCGCCCCCGCTGTCGCTGTCCCGCCGGTGCTGATGCTGAAACTGCTGCTGAGGCTGCTGCCTTGGCGGCGGTCGCCTGGGCGCGGGCTCAGCATTTCTCCCCCTGCCCCGCGCCCCGAGGCCTGGGGAGCGGGAAAAGCCAACTCAAGCTCCTATCTTCCAGTCCCTCTTAGCCCAGACCCAGACCCCTTTACCGCGCTTTCCTCTCCCCTTGCCCTAGCCCACTCCTCTCGCTCAGCGGGATCGCAGCTGCCCTGCCGAGCTCAACTTCTGCGGGGCTGTGCGCCTGGTCGCCGCTCCTCTCTCCCCGGAGATCGAGACAAACGCTGGCAGTCCAGTGGGGCCGTGGAGTGGGAGAGGTAGTGGGAGAAGCAGGCAGGATGCCAGACAGGGCAACGGGCAATTGGAGGGATCACATCTCAGCTTCTACCGCCGGGGTCCCGAGCCCCAAACGCGGCTGCAGGGGCGGAGGTGTTGCACTCCGCCGAGGCTGAGCGCTGAGCAGAAACTGACAGGGCGGCGCGCGAAGACGCAGAGCAGCCACCTGACGCTGCTACCGCCCCCCTCCGGACTTCGGCCCCCAAAGCTCATCAGAGGAGCTTTTACCACCCGCCCAACCCATGCTACAGAGCCTGATCCAGTTAGAGTCCGAGCGCACAAAGGGCGCAGGAACGTCCCCCAAGCCCCTAGCTGGGTCTGGCATGGGGAGCCAAGCCACACAGGGGAGCTTCCCCAGGGCTGCGGGAGGCGAGGGGCGAGCCCCGCCAATGCTGCGAAGTTGCTGAAAAGATTGCACTTAATGCAAGGAGTAGGAGAAAAGGGTGAATAATTCACACCCGATGGCGCGGGGGGCGGAGGGGGGGGCGCAGCGTTTGCGATGGAAAAAGAGTGAAGGCGGTGGGAGCAAAGCTGAGCAGGGCTGCGGGTGCGGACAGTATTCGTCTCTAATAATCTATCCGCTCATAATCCGGGACAGGAGTGGAACCGTGAGAAACAGAGTCCAAAAGCCGGATTCTACCACGGAGAAGGGAAAATGGCATAAGTGCAAATAGAGCGGGGAGAGATTAAAGAAAAGGGGAGGCTCGCGCCGCGGCACCTCCATTTATCTAAGACGGTAGTTCTCAAAGTGGTCCCAACCGGCAGCACCTCCTAAGAATGAATTAGAAATGCAAATTATCCGACTCCACCCCAGAGCTAAGGAACAAGGAACCAGGCGCGAGGGCCAAGAATCTGTTTTAACAAGCCCTTCAGGTAAATATGTTGCACGCTCAAGTTTGAGAAGCACCGGCCGATCTAAGGCTTCCTCTCTGGAAGCTCCACCTGGGCTCGTCGAGAAAGGACAACTGCATATGCAGGATGAAGGAGTAAGGACAAAAAGTGCACTGTGGCAGGATCAGAGGTTGGTGGCAAGGTGAAGCTTGGAGCAGTGAAGGCGAAAGGAAAGTTGTATATATTCGGTAATCTCTGTTAGAAATGGTAGAGTGTGAGTTGCCCACTAGCAGCA